TGCTGCACTTGAAGGGCGTGTGGGATCGTCTTCAATCCTCGTGGGATCGTGTGGGGTCGTGTTGGGATCGTGTTTATTCTCCTGAGATTGTGTGGGATCGTGTGGGATCGTGTGGGATCGAGTGGGATAGAATAAAATCGTGTTTGTTATCTCGGGATCGAGTGGGACCGTGTGGGATCGTGTGGAATCGTGTGGGATCGTGTGGGATCGCGTGGGATCGTGTGGGATCGTGTGGGATCGTGTTTCTCAGAGTGGACGAAGAGGCGAACTTGTTGACTCTGGACGACGGGACGCAGACACTCGAAATTGCCTTCGACTTCGGGCACCGCCTGCAGCAGCAAGTGCAGCAGCAGCAGCAGCAATCGCAGCAGCAGCAGCAGCAACAGCAGCAGTGCCAGTGCCATGCTGCTTGCGTCTGCGGGCGCCGCAGCTTTTGCTGCAGCAGCCACGCAGCACTTATTGAAGCAGCAGAAACAGCAAAGTTTGCTGCTGTCTTTGTCCGCCCCTGCCCCATTATACTGCAGCACGAGGCCCTAGCTGAATTCCGAGTGCAAACCCTAAACCCTAAACCCTAAACCCTAAACCCTAGGTTCTTCTGCAGGGGTCCCGGATCCCTAAACCCTTTAAGTCCGAAGCTGCAAGTGTTTGCTCACGAGGGTGCGCTAAAGCCCCGCAAACCCTAAACCCTAATTTAGGGTTTTGACTTCGCGCTGCGCTGCGGTGTACATACAGCTCGAAAGGCTCTCCCTCGCGCCTTCCGCCGACCCCAACGCCGAGACCGAGTGGCTGCTGCACGTGCGCCAGCAAACCCCAAACCCTAAACCCTAGACCCTAAACCCTAAGCTGTAAACCATAAACCCTAGAAGGGCGGTTGTGGGGCAGTGCTGCTGCTGCAGCAGCAGCAGCAGCAGCAGCTAGAAGAAGCGCATGCAAAGTTGCGAATAATGGAAGACAATGATGAAATTAAAAAAAAAGATAAATTTGAATTGCTTTTTAAAAAGTACTTTTATTTTCTAAAAAGTTTAAAAAAACATTTCAGATGTGGGGCGTGGGGTGTGCGTACAGGTGGCGCACTTGCACTTGGCGTGTAAAAGAGACTTCGGAGAAAAGACGGAAATAAATAAATAAATGAATGAATAAATAAATAAATAATTTAATTAATTAATTAATTAATTAATTAAAATAAATAAAAAAATAAATGAAAAAGATAAATGCCAAGTAGAACTCAAGGCGACTGCACATTTTTTTTAAATCCGTATTAGCTGCTTCAACTTCGACACTTTTGCATGCATGCATTTATGCATGCACGTATGCATGCATGCATGCAAAAGGAAGAAGCAAATAGCAGCAAAGAAAGCGATAAGAAGACACACAACATAAATGCATAAACGCAAAGTTTGGAAAAAGGAAGAGAAGCGGCAGCAGCAGCCAAACGCGCGCGGCAGCAGCAAAGCAGCAGCAGCAGCAGCAGCAGCAACAGCAGGAGCAACTATAAGTGGGCCTTGGGGCCCGAAGTGTCTCCTTTGTCTCCTTTGCTGCTCTGCAAACTTCCTAATGAACTCTTTGACTCTCTAAATCATACGACTTTTGCTGCTGCTGCTGCTGCTGCTGCTGCTGACACTGGGCTGCAGGTGCTTACGCTACAGTTGCTGCTGCTGCTAAGTTGCTGCTAAGTTGCTGCTGCTGCTAAGTTGCTACTGCTGCTAAGTTGCCGCTGCTGCTAAGTTGCTGCTGCTAAACTTGCTGCTGCTGCTGCTGCAGCAAGGACAAGCCTAAAAGTTGTAGCAGCAAAGAAAGCAACTGCAGAGATAATAGTCCAATGCCTTCTCAGGTGTATATACACCTCAAAACAGCAGCAGCAGCAGCAGTCCGCTGCTCTGCTGCAAGACATTCGGCCCTCTAACTTGGAGGGGCTTCCCCGGCTGCTGCTACCATTGCTGGTGCTGCTTCTGCTGCTGCTGCTGCTGGGGCAGCTGCTGCTGTGGCCGGCGGTCCCGCTGCAGGTGCTGCAGGTGGCTGTGTCGCTGCGGGTGCTGCCTGGGGTGCTGCTGCAGCTGCTGCTGGTGCAGCAGGTGCTGGTGCTGCAGCTGCCCCTCCTGGTGCTGCTGCAGGTGCATCTGTGGGGACTGTGTTCGGTGCAGCTGCTGCAGCAGCAACAGGTGTTGCAACAGCAACAGGCGCTGCAGCAGCAACAGGTGCTACAGCAGGCGCAGGTGCCGCAGCAGCAGCAGGTGTTGCAGCAGGCACAGGCGTTGCGGCAGCAACAGGTGCTGCAGCAGCCGTAGGTGTTGCAGCAGCAACAGGTGTTGCAGCAGCAGCAGGTGCTGCAACAGCAGGTGTTGCGGCCGGCACAGGCGCTGCAGCAACAGGTGCTCTAACAGGAGCAGGTACAGCAGCAGGTGCTGCAGCAGCAGCAGCAGCAGCAGGTGCGGCATTTGCTGCTTCTGCTTCGGACTTGGCAGCCGCTGCTGGCTCGGCCTGTTCCGTCTTGAGCGGCGTCTCTCCCACTTGCTGCTGCAGCTGCTGCTGCTGCAGCTGCTGCTGCTGCAGCTGCTGCTGCTGCTGCTGCTGCTGCTGCTGCTGCTGCTGCCTGTGCAGCTCGTTCTGCTGCGCCACCTGCTGCAGTCCCGCATAGATCTTGTTAAAGGCAGCAACATGATCGTTGAAACGCATCACCACCAGCTGCAAACAGCACACCAACAAACACAACATGGCTAGCTAGCTAGCTAGCTAGCTAGCCATATATCTAGCTAGCTAGCTAGCCATATATCTAGCTAGCTAGCTAGGTAGCTAGCTGGGTGATTAGTCTGCTCGCCACGTAGCTAGCCGGCTAGCTACGTGGCTAGAAGCCCATCCATAGCTAGCTAGCCACCCACCCACCCAGCTAGCTAGCTAGCTAGCCGCCCAGCCAGCTAGCTAGCCAGCCGCCCAGCCAGCCAGCTAGCTGGGCGCGCAGCCCGGCAGGCAGCCCGCCTCCACCGACGCAACTAGCCCCCCCCCGCCTCCCCCGCAGCCCCGCAGCAGCAGCAGCAGCAGCAGCAGCAGCAGCAGCAGCGGGACCTGGTTGAGGAAGAAGCGGTGGAGGCTCTTGCCGATGGCGCCGACCCAGGAGTTCGGCGGGTTGTAGAGCGCGCAGTTGTCGAAGACGAGCTGCAGGTCCGCGAGAAAGGCGTGCGGCGTTTGGTAGAAGTGCCTCTTGAGTTTGCTGCGGACGCAGCAGAAGGCCATGGGCCTGCGGACCACCTCGTAGTACCCGGGCGCTGCCTTTTTGTCCACGAATTTCTCGAACAAGTGGGCCCCCTCCTGCCTGCTGAGGGCGCCGAGCAGCTCTCCGGCCTGTTGCTGCCACTGCGCGTTCAGGGCCTCGCACCGCGCGACGCAGGCCGCTGCGCTCAGCTCCCCGGGGGCCCCCGGGGGGC